GGGTTTGTTTAGCTTCTATAATTGAAACATTGTTGCTTCCGGAGCTCAGAGCTGGGCCGCGGCAGGCGGGGAACCTTGGCTTCCTCCATCACTGGAGCAAGCAAGCCTCCTGCTTGCTTCAGCTGCATGGCTGCCGGCCGCCATCTTTGTTGGCAGTTTGCATATCTCGCTGATTAGCCAATGGGAAGCGTAGCGGAGGTATAGTTAATTACCCTTTTTGTCTTTTATTAGATAGGATACTTTTTATGTATATATATTTTCCTCACAATTGTACTGTGTAGTTTTCAAAGACAGGTTTGTATTAAGTCCTTGCCTCCCACTCCTTGCCAAAATACCCCAAACCTAACAAAAATACTGAGCAAATAACATGGATTCAACTAGTAGCATACTTGTTAAAAGATGGAATTGGTTTTGTTGCACTAAAGCACTAGAGAAGAGAAAAGCTAGGTTTGGTGTTTTACCATTATTACAGAAGGTGTGGGGATTTTAAATATCGCATGGAAAGAATCCTGTCCTTTTTGTGCACTGAAAAGGTCAGTATATAAATGAACTTCCAATTAATTTGTTAAAAGTTTAAAGAAATATTTATCCTTTTTGAAGTTTGTTTTATTTTTAAATTCCATATATATCATAAAATTAAATTACTTTTATTTTCTTAAAGCAGTTCTTGGAACACCTCACAGCTTGCCACATCTGATGAATCCATCCATCTCCCCTGCATTTTTACATTTGAATAAAGCACATCAGGTATATAAACAGCATTGAATATTGAAACATCAAAAATTTGTACTGAATATTTTGTTTGTTCTTTACAAGTAAAGTTCTCAAGTTAAATGAGTATTTAAAAAAAATACTATTCATAAGTATAGGTACGTAAAAACGTAATTTAGCCATGGCCAGTGTTGGTCAGTGGTTAAATGTTGGCCCATGCACTGAAGGGTTGAGGGTTCGATTCCTGGTCAAGGGCACATACCTAGGTTGTGGGTTTGCTCCCTGCCCCCTAGTCAAGCAACCAATTAATGTATCTCTCTCACACTTCCTTCCTTTCTCACTCCCTCTCTTCCCTCTTTTCATCCTTCCTTTCCACTTTCTCTGAAAAACAATGGAAAAAATATACTCAGGTGAGGATTAAAAACAAAGATACAAAAACATGAGAACATCAGATCAAATGAAGTTAATCAAAGCAGCATCGTTATATATTTATTGATTCCTGTGTGTAAGGCATTAAGTAAGGAAGGGTATATTTTGTGTGGTAAATTTTTCTGTAACTAAATCAGTATAGTCATTCATTGATTATCAATAGGGATATGTTTCAAGAAATGCATAGTTAGGCAATTTCATCATGTATGAACTCACCTGTGTTGGTACATCTATATTGGGCACTGGCAGGAATGGAAATTGCTTGGGTGAATCAGTGAGTGAGTAGTGAAGGCCGAGGACATTGCTGTACACTAGCATAGTCTTTATAAATACTGTACACTCAGGCAACATTAAATTCATAAAAATTATTTTTCTTCAATAAGTAAATCTTAACTTACTTTTACTTTTTAACTTTATAAACGTAATTTTTATTTTTATTTATTGAAATATATTTTTATTGCTTTCAGAGAGGAAGAGAGAGATAGAAACATCAATGATGAGAGAGAATCATTGATCGGCTGTCTCATGCACATCCCCTACTGGGGATTGAGCCCACAACCCACGCATGTGCCCTTGATCGGAATCGAACCTGGGACCCTTCAGTCCACAGGCCGACGCTCTATCCACTGAGCCAAACTGGCTAGGGCTAAACGTAATTTTTTTAACTTTTCAACTCTTGTAAAAACATATAGCTTAAAACACACATTATACATTTATACAAAAATGCTTCCTCTCTTTATATCGTTATTCTCTAAGCTATTTTTTATTTCAAATATTTATTATTTTTACTTAAAATTTTTTTTTTGTTAAAAACTAAGACACGAACACACATTAGCTCAGGATCACCAGTATCACTGCCTTTCACCTCCACATCTTTCCCCACTGGAAGGTCTTCGGGCATGGAGCTGTTATTCCCTACCACTGTCATATGTTTGGTCCATCATTGACCAGAATGTTATATGGCGCATGACTATAGCTCAGAACAAGTCCTCTTATGTGGCCTTAACTCAGAAGAGTATTTACAGAAAGAAAAACAATAAATGAATGAACAATAACTCTTATTCTTAAATTTCAATTGATGTTATAAAAATAATTCATATATTAGAGTAAAAATTTGTTTTACCTTTTTCAGATAAGTATTTTAAAATGTGTTTGTATATATAGCTATAATACCGGAGATGAACATTAATTTCAGGTAGCGTTAAGGCTGCATCTATATAGGAGCCCAGTTACAAATCAAACCTAATACATAACAGGTGATTGTAGATTGGGTGAATGTCTGGTCCTACACCTAGCTTTTTAAGGGAAAGGCCTACTTTTATTTATTTTTCATTCTTAGAATCTAACCTAGGACCTTGTACGTTATAGGGCCTTTGTTCATTCATTTACTCAATATGTTTTAATGAGAATCTCACATGTACTAGACGCTCTGCTGATCATGGAGGCTACAGTATTGAACACACGTTGATCAGTGGCGAAAATTCTTACAAAATTTCAACAAATAGAGAAAATAAACAAATAATTTATTACAATAAGGTGTGAAGAGTGATACAAAAAGGGTATTCAGAGAATAGACAATATTCTCTTTATTTTAGAATTAAAATCAAAATGCTTGATTTTGCCTTTAAGGCCTGTCCAAGCTGGGCTCACCTGCTGCCATGCTCAGGGCATCGCTGTCTCAGCTACAGTGGCCTGCTTTGGTCTTCAAAGGGCCTTGTTCCCTTCTCCTTAGGTCTTTGCTCCTGCTGTTCCTTCTGCCTGGAATGCTCTCCACTGCAGCATCACCTGATCCCCCCAGATTTCGCCTAGTTATTCTCCGCAGCCTTCCAATCTCTGCGCAATAGTTGGTCCCCCAGGAAAACCTTTGAATTTAACAATCTCACTCAATTCCGCCACTGTCCTCATAGCTCCTTGTATTTTCCCTTCGTGTTCCCATTGCCATTTGTATTTATGTTTTTATAATTAGTTAATGCCTTATTTCTTCAGGGAACGATAAAGATCCATGAGGGCCGATCATAGTGTTGTGTTTCTCACTATGTTGTGTTTCTCACAGTGACTGACACGTAGAAAGTGCTCAGTAAGCCTTTGTTGAATGAGTAAATGAATAAATAAATGATTGAATGATGCTGACATTAAAGTCACGTCTTGTATATCATTATAAGAATTAATTGCTGTTGTCTGCAGTTGAAACGTGAGATACAAAGAAGCTGTTGCTTTTGCTCAGATCAGCTAGAGAATTAAACCATATGAATTAGGTTATACAACAAGCAGCTTCTAAAAATTAAACTAACTTGATGTTTTACATTTTTCACAGAGCTCAATTATGGGTAATACTTCTAATTTATTCCTTCAGAATCTCTCCCATGTATCACTGGCACAGCAACAATTAATGAAGTTTGAGAATATTCATACTAATAATGTAAGTATGGAATTATTTTTTCTTTTGGAATGAGTTCATTTTTTTTTCTATAATCAGGCTATTGGTCAGATTGAATTTTCACTTGTGTAGCCTCGGCCATTATATCCTGCTGCCATTGGCAAAGTTCTTAATTTTTCCTCTTCTTTTGCAGAAACCGGGCTTACTTGGAGATCCCCCAGCGATGGTACTTCAGGCTGCAGTAGGAATAGGGTCAGCACTTCCCTTGAAAACAGAGTTGGGTCATCATGGAGAAGCACATAAAAGTAAATGATGTGTATTTACTGGAAAGTCAGTGAACAGTCAGATTTGAGGTTTAAAGATAATTTACCTATATTCTACTTTTTACAGGAAGGTCAAATTTGAGTTTTTAGTCATTTAAAATTTCCAGGGCTCTTTTGGCTTTTCTGCTTTTAATATTAGAAAACTATTGATGTTGCTGACGGATTTGTTTCCATACCAAGATAAGACTTTCCCTGTGGGATAAGCTTTAATGTTTGGTAAAGGTTCGCAGCAGTGTGAGGCAAACACATAGGTCCATTTGAGAGTGACCTGCTGCCCACTGGGCTGACAACAGATTATACAGGCATCCATTGAATTTCTGCCTGGGTAAGAAAATCTTAGCTTTTATAAAGAAACTAGAGGCCCGGTGCATGAAATTCGTGCACTCGGGTGTGTGTGGGGGGGGTCCTTCAGCCCGGCCTGCGCCCTCTCACAGTTCAGGAGCCCTCAGGGGATCTCCGACTGCCGCTGAGTTGGGAGAAGCTCCCACCGCTGCTGCTGTGTTTGCCAGCCGTGAGCCCAGCTTCTGGCTGAGTGGCACTACCCCTGTGGGAGTGCACTGGTCACCAGGGGGCAGCTCCTGCATTGAGCGTCTGCCCCCTGGTGGTCAGTGTGTGTCATAGTAACCGGTCATTTCGCCATTTGGTCAATTTGCATATTAGCCTTTTATTATATAGAATAGCTGGTGTTTGTTAATTTAAAGTTTATTTATTTACTAGAGGCCCAGTGCTTGAATTCGTGCACCAGTGGGGTCCCTTGGCCTGGCCTGCGGAATTGTGCTGAAACTGGCTCTCCGACATCCCCCGAGGGGTTCTGGATTGTGAGAGGGCTCAGGCCAGGCCGAGGGACTCCCACCAGTGCACGATTAGGGCCAAGAAGGGATGCAGGAGGTTGGTCAGCTGGGGAGGGGATGTGGGAGGGCTCCAGGTTGTGTCCAGCCCATCTCGCTCAGTCCTAATCTGCTGGACCCCAGCAGCAAGCTAACCTACTGGTCAGAGCGTCTGCCCCCTGGTGGTGGATGCACATCATAGCGACTGGTCTACCAATCAACTGTCTGCCCCCTGGTGGTCAGTCACATCACAGCAAGCGGTTGAGCGGCCTTAGCATATCATTAGCATATTACCCTTTGATTGGTTGAACGGACGACCGGACACTTAGCATATTAGGCTTTTATTATATAGGATATCATTTTTTAAAATGTGATCTCCATATTAGTATTAGAAGAAAAATAATAATGTGTACAGTTCTGACTAAAAGAAAAATAGGAGCATGGTGGTTAATGTGATTTCTTACTTGAATATGATTTTGAAAGACACTTTCAGTGTGAAGATTAACTGAAATTTGCTTGAAGTGAGCATGCTGGGGGACCAGGGGCCACCATTAATAAAATTAAAATATATAGATGGGTAACATATATATCTTGTACATTAAACCAGCAAGTCTAATGATCAGATAACTCAGTTCTGACTGTTAGTATTGACTGGGCAAAAGGTAAATCATTACATAGGTATAGAAATTTTTATGGTATCATAGGGATCTGTCCTAAAAAGTAAATTCTGTATGCCTAAAAGCTTAAGCAAATGTTTATTAGTTGTGTTGGATTAAATAATAAGCCATTTTCTTTTGCATGTGCTGCATTCAGTGTTCAATAAATATATCGCTAAGAGATAAAACCATCTCTTAAGTACATAATACTAAAAATAACTTAAGAAATTTGTTTAGTGAGTTTGTAAATTATAAATTTGACTTAAAGTAGTTATCAAAATTAGCTCTTTTCATTTAATTTTGATCTGTAGATTTTTTTAAAAAGTGGAATGGTTCAGAATTTGCCTATTCAAGCTTTGATTTTTTTTTTCTCCCAGAATTTCTTGTTATGCCCTAAAAATAAAAATGTAAAACTTTCATGTTAAATTTGGTGATCTATTCACAAATATTGATGTGTTTTAAATAGTGGTGTGTTAATGTTTAAAAACCAGTTATCTAGGGTAAAAACATCTTGATTTGTAGAATTTGTGATTTCTGTGTGTAAACACTCCAACCGTGGTCGATTCAGGTTGCCAGTGTGAAGACATTGAACTGGAGAGCAGGGAAGAGAGGAGCTAGTGCAAGAAAGCTGACCAAATTTATTGTTAGAGTTCATCTAATTTTACCAATTTTTAAGAGTCAGAGAATTTTTTAAACTGAAGACTAATTATTCCTTCAAATATGGAAGCAGGCAAATTACAATGACTGGGCATTTTTAAAAAAAGGCACTGATGCCACTGAAATGCCAAAAAGTGCATACATTTTGCATTCAACTTTTAAAATAAAGAATTAAAACTTAGAATTAAAAAATGTAATATTCTTGAGACTGTACTGGAAGTTGTTTAAGAAAGGCATGATTCCTATTATAGGTTTTTGTTTTCCTAGGAACCTGCTAATTTACAACTTCTAACCTCCCCTTTTGAATTTAACTGTTCTCTAATAGATTAAAAAATGTTTGTTTGCATTTTGCCTATAATTTAACAAAATCAAAAGGACTGTTATGAATAAGTCTTGTCTAACCAAAAGTTTTTGGCATTTGTGGTTCCCTACAGCATCTAATCTGATTCCAACTCAAACAACTCTAACAGCTGGAATGGGCTTATTACCGTTCTTTCCAAATCAGCACATTGCTGGACAAGCTGGGCCAGGGCATGGGAATACTCAGGAGAAACAGCCAGCCTCCGTGGGAATAGCAGAAGGAAATTTCTCAGGGTCACAGGCTTATCTTCAGAGCTTTCCGAACCTTACTGCTGGAGGTTTGCTGGCAGGACACCATAAGCAACAACAGAGTCAGCCAAAAAGCACAGAGATGAGTTCAGGGGTAAGAAAACTCTGTGTGTGTGCACACACATACACACACATACACAAACAGTGCAGGTGTATGTTACAAGTACAT